GGGGTGAAAGAATGAAGCAAAAGCCGCACAGCAGGCGCGTGCGCAGCACTTCCGTCATCTTAGACGGTTTAGGGTATTTCGCGCATGCCAAACTACAATAGAAGGGGGTTTGACGCATTTTTTAAAATAGAGGGGGACAATCCGCAGATTTAGTATATTACAGGGGGGTTTCGTGCATTTTACCCTACAAGTAGCATTATTCTAATTATTAATAGAGGTATGGAATGTTTGGGCCTAATGATTGTGTCAATTCGTTTTGAATCAAAGCCCAGTTAGGTTCATGGGTTGTAACAAGTTGAGTGGGCCAAATTAATCTGTATAACATACTATTACGGGAAAAATCCATAACACCATTGCTCTAGAATTACGAAATTAATCAAATTAATGCCAACACTTTTCAAAAAAAAGTAACCGATTGACAACTATGTTTATTGAATGACAATAACTTTCTCTCTCCAATAACCACTATCTCTCTTTATTAACCGTCTAATATACACTTTTAAAAAAAAAAGTAACCGATTGACAACTATGTTTATTGAATGACAATAACTTTCTCTCTCCAATAACCACTATCTCTCTTTATTAACCGTCTAATATACACTTTTAAAAAAAAAGTAACCGATTGACAACTATGTTTATTGAATGACAATAACTTTCTCTCTCCAATAACCACTATCTCTCTTTATTAACCGTCTATTAATTATTACTTCTATCCAATATTACTAGTAATTTATTTGTTTTTATTAATAATTAAATCCCACGCAATAAAAACAAAAAAAACAAAAAAAAAATTATGAAAAGAAAAAAAGTAAAAAAGTTTAGCCCGCAAAAAAGATAAGAATAAACAAAATAACTTATAAAATGATTACATAAATGATAAGAGTTATTCAACATTGGAAACTAAAAGAAGAAATATGAACATTTTCAAAATATGCATAATTCAACTTAAAAATTATATTGAAGAACATTCCTTTTCGATATTCACTTTTTTTAAAAAAAAAAAAAATTGGGAATAACTTGAACTATCTCAAACAGATTATTTTTCAATTTTTTTTTGTGTGTGTGTAAAATTTGTTTACAAAGTGTTTCATCTTTTTTTTTTAGTTATTATATTTATATATTTTTCATATTAAAAATTTCAATATTTATGGGTTTTTGTGATGTTGTGCATAAGTTGCTTTGTAGTTTATTCTAATCAAGTATTCGGTTTTTTTTTTATTTTGTTGATATACATTTATTTTTTAGTTGCTTAATGGTTATTTTGATCCATCAATTTACTTTTTAGTTGACTTACGAATAACAAAAGCAGGAGAACCCGGTCTCGATTGAAGAAAAAGATGTAAATGTGAATACTTACAATTATATCCACACCTAAAGATTACTGGTGGCTTAAACAAAAACAACTGAGAGGGTAAAACCACCAGAAAAAGTCTAGATGGATGAAGAACAGGGGCAACTCAGCTTCAACTTTAAGTTGCCCATCTGAAACTCTGAAATGTACATTTATAGCTACCCCTTTTAATCAGGAAATCGAGAAAATTGTATTTCTCTTTATCTCCAATCTACTAAATTTCATATAGCTACGAATTTCCCATTGAGAGAGAGAGAGATAGAAGGGCATTTCGACTAGGGCAGCAAGCCATTAGAGGCTAATTTGCCAATTAGAGGAAAAAGGCAAATTCCAAGGAAAAAAAAAAACATGAGACATTAACGAATCAGACAACAAACCAATGAGCAACATCATATACACAGTAAAAAACATGAGTCACAAGGGAAAAAAATGAATCGAACAATTTATGTATCACCGCAAATTCATAACTATTTGCCAATTAACAACATCAGTTACCAATAAAGACGATCCAAAAAACTAAGAAATCACTTCAACATATATATCACACCTGGGTTGATTGATAATAAGGTGGTTAACGAATCACAGCTCGAAGACGACTGAGCAACGGGGAAAGATTAGAAGGGTCAAGACTCGAGAGAGTAACGAAAGGGCTTCGGATCGGGTCGTACTTTTTATAGGGAGTCCATTGGGCCAAGAACGTCGGCCTTATATGCACAAAAAGAAAAAGAAAAAGAAAAAACTCACACACATTGAGTCACAACACACATATGAACATAAGCAGTGCGCACAGCCTCAATTTTTACGCACAGAAAACGAACCTCAATTTCGGAGCAAACAAGATTCCAAAATTGGTAAAAAAAAAAAATTCTTTTGTTTTCCTCAACAACCCTGATCAATTTGGTTGAAGTTTGATATTATATATATATATATTTTATTTTTAGGGTAGGGTTTCTTGTTTTGCTGAATGTTTGTAATGAGGTGGGAAAGAAGACTAATAATAATTAATAGAGGTATGGAATGTTTGGGCCTTATCAAAGCCCAGTTAGGTTCATGGGTTGTAACAAGTTGAGTGAGCCAAATTAATCTGTTTAACATACTATTACGGGAAAAATCCATAACACCATTACTCTAGAATTCCGAAATTAATCCAATTAATGTCATATACACTTTAAAAAAATAACCGATTGACAACTATGTTTATTGAATGACAATAACTTTCTCTCTCCAATAACCACTATCTCCCTTTATTAACCGTCTAATATACAATTTTTAAAAAAAAGTAACCGATTGACAACTATGTTTATTGAATGACAATAACTCTCTCTCCAATAACCACTATCTCTCTTTATTAACCGTCTATTAATTATTACTTCTATCCAATATTACTAGTAATTTATTTGTTTTTCTTAATAATTGAATCCCAAGCATAAAAACAAAAAAAAAAAACATTTATGAAAAGAAAAAAAAGTAAAACAGTTTAGCCTGCAAAAAAGATAAGAATAAACAAAATAACATATAAAATGATTACATAAATGATAAGAGTTATTCAACGTTGGAAACTAAAAGAAGAAATATGAACATTTTCAAAATATGCATAATTCAACTTAAAAATTATATTGAAGAACATTCCTTTTCGATATTCACTTTTTTTTAAAAAAAAAAAAATTGGGAATAACTTGAACTATCTCAAACTGATTATTTTTCAATTTTTTTTTTTTGTGTGTGTAAAATTTGTTTACAAAGTGTTTCATCTTTTTTTTTTCAATTATTATATTTATATATTTTTCATATTAAAAATTTCAATATTTATGGGTTTTTGTGATGATGTACATAAGTTGCTTTGTAGTTTATTCTAATCCAGTATTCAGTTTTTTTATTTTGTTGATATACATTTATTTTTTAGTTGCTTAATGGTTATTTTGATCCATCAACATTTACTTTTAAGTTGACTTACGAATAACAAAAGCAGGAGAACCCGATTCTCGATTTAAGAAAAAGATGCAAATGTGAATACTTACAATTATATCCACACCTAAAGATTACTGGTGGCTTAAACAAAAATAACTGAGAGAGTAAAACCACCAGAAAAAGTCTATATGGATGAAGAACATGGGCAACTCAGCTTCAACTTTAAGTTGCCCATCTGAAACTCTGAAATGTACATTAATAGCTACCCCTTTTAATCAGGAAATCGAGAAAATTGTAT